AGCCTCGGCCCGGTCCCCGGGAATCCCCGGGAGACAGGCAGGGCACGGGGTGCGCTGGGACTCAGCGGGGCTCGTTACGGCCATGGGAAATGGCCCTGCGGAGACCCCGGGGATCTGCTGCTCCCAGCACAGGCTGGGGAAGGGCAGGCATTGCAAAGAGCGGCCCAGGGGGCACTGGCACCCGCAGTCCTGAAGAGAGGCAAGGTAGGATCTGACTGTACGTCCAACCCTGTCCCCATGCAGAGGGAGGAGCTATATAGCACAGGGCTCCACCCCCTGCAGGGGGAGGAGCTAGATAAACCTGGGGCCCCACCCGCATACAGGGGGAGGAGCTCTAATCCCCGGGGCTCTGCTCCAATGCAGCGGGAGGAGCTCTCTGCCCCACCCCAATCCAGTCTGAGCTGAGGAAGTTCTATGGGGCGACCCACAGCCAATCACCGTTCGTTCCTTCCCCACCCGCCATCGCTGAGGCATTGGCGGGTCACTGTGGGTTTCTGCAGGGACATGCTAAGGTTGCAGCACCCTCCCCCAAGACCCCCTGCCCTACAAACCTGTGTGCATCTTCCTCCGTGCCCACTTCCTCAGCCCCTCCCACCCCCTCTGCTTCCTTCTGCTGTCAGCTACGCCCTTCTGCGGTCATGCAGCATGAGCTAAGCTGTCGCATGGACGGCTAACGCCCTGCAGCCCTGCGGGGGTCCTGCCGACAGCTGGGCTAAGGTGGCAGTGCCGTGCACCACAGCTACCCCTTCCTGTCCCATCCAGCCCCGGCCCCAGCGCCTGTCCCGGTCGGGCCTCCTCATCTGCACGGCGCCAACCTGCCCGGTCGGCATGAAGGTAATTAAGAGTCTGCCGCAGGTCCCTGGATACCACCGACACGTTACTGGCATTACACTGCCAGCCGCGCTGCCCCCGACCCTGCTCCCACGCACGTAGGGAGCTTTCATTCCTCATTAGGCTTTTAATCAAGTGCAGGGAAATAACCAAGGGGCGGGAGGGAGCCCGCAGGCACTGTCTCCAGACTCAAATCTGCCACCGGGAGGGCCCAGCTCCCCGGATCCCCAGCCTGTCCATATCGTCCTCTCTGCCCTGCAGGAAGCCACTGGCGTGGCACACTGGGCACCAGCCTCTCCCAAGCACCCAGCTCTCACCCAGGCACCTTAAACGCATGGCCAGATTTTCGAGTGGTGGCATTTTACAGCCACTTAGCCCTGGGCGCGAGGGCAGCAGGGAACCACGCCAGAAACCGCCAACATTCGTATCCTCTGCTCTGGAGGGGCACAGAAGGGGGCAGGCGGGCACGGAGCCATGGAAGATGGGGACGAGACCAGAACACATTCCAGGTGAAGGTAGGGCCTGAGGGGTCTCAGCAGGTCTGGGTGGGTGGATGGTGGGGAGCCTCAGAGCTAGGAGAATGGGGGACTGGGGGTAGACACTACGAGGGAAGCATGCCCAGCACCTGGCCGTAGCCAGACGGCACTCTCAGCCCCTTGCTTTCCTGAGCACTCAACCGTCACCCATCAAGCCTTTAAATCAATAACAAAATAAAAACCTGCCGCTCCCACCGATTGTGACCCAGCGGCTGGGCTGGGGAGCGATGGGACGAGATAATGGCGCGTGTGCCGGGGAAGCCATTGGCAGGAATCCCCGAACGAGTCTGCAGCCAGCCCTGGACCCAGCACCCAGGCAAAGTGCACCCGTGGGTAACTCGCAGAGGGTGCCATCACCCTGGCTGGGCCAATGCCCAAGTGCTGCTTCTCCCCAGTGTCTCTACCCCCTGAGCCATGGCTCTGGCTTGCAAACGGGACCCAGATCCCACCATACGCAATGGGCTTCGCTGGCATTGCAAACTCCCCGGCAAGGTCTTGCTCCTCTTGTAATTAGCAAGCGATGCCTGGGAGCGATTCCTCTCCTGTCCACCATGCTGCGGGAAGCCCTGGTGGAGTCTTAGCCCAAAGGGAGGGGGAATTAGCCCAGCAGGGAGCTTTGAGTAAGCAAATGCACACTCTCTTCCCCCGATCTCATGTCCCCTCTCAATTGCCTCTTTTCCACATTAAACACACCCAGGTCCTTCAGCCTTTGCTCCGATGGCTTCCATTCCATCCCTCTGCTCATCTTTGTCGCTTGCCTCTACACATTGGTGACTAAAACTGGACACAGGCCTCCAGCTGACGCCTAACCCAGACCGAGTAGAGCGGTACTATCACCTCCCGTGACTTGCATGCTCTGCCTCTCTTAATGCAACCTGAAATTGTGTTTGCTTTTTTTTGCAACTGCATCGCATTGCTGACGCATGTCGAGGTTGTGATCCACCACAACTCCCAGATCCTTCGCAGCAGTGCTGCCAAGCCAGTTCCCCCCCCATTCTGTATTCATGCATTTGGTTTTTCTTCCCTAGAATCATAGAATCACAGAATATCAGGGTTGGAAGGGACCTCAGGAGGTCATCTAGTCCAACCCCCTGCTCAAAGCAGGACCAATTCCCAACTAAATCATCCCAGCCAGAGCTTTGTCAAGCCGGGCCTTAAAAACCTCTAAGGAAGGAGACTCCACCACCTCCCTAGGTAACGCATTCCAGTGCTTCACCACCCTCCTAGTGAAACAGTGTTTCCTAATATCCATCTAGACCTCCCCCACTGCAACTTGAGACCCTAAGTGTAGCACCTTACAGCTGTCTTTGCTGAATTTCATTTTGTCGTCTCCAGCCCAATTCTCCAATTTATCACCATCCCTCTGAATTTTAGCTCTACCCTCTAAAGTGTTAGCGACCCCTCCAGCTTTGTGTCATCTGCAGATTTGATCAGTGTGCTCTCTATTCCTACAGCCAGGTCATTAATAAAGATGTTAAACAACACCGGACCCAGAACAGATCCCGGTGGAACCCCACTTGAGACCTCCCTCCAATCTGACATCATTCCATTAATAGTGACTCTTTGTTTGGGGTTGTTTAACCAATTACGCATCCACTTAGTGGTAGTTCCGTCAAGCCCGCATTTTTCCAGCTTACTTATCAGAATGGAACGGCCTCGCTTTGGCCCCCCTCCAGGGCCAGCCTCTGGGGAGAACCAGCCAACGGGCCACCCAGGGCCATGACAATGAGAAGATGTTTTAGGTTAGACTGATCCACTGACCTGAGTTAAGATGCTCTGTCTACATGTTAACTATGTATCTAACAAAGACTGTTGTTAAGTTCCTAGCAATTAATGATTATTAAGACTAGCGGAATACTTGACTATAAAACAACAGGTACCAGGAGTGAAGGAAATGATCAAAAGAACTGAAAGAATTAAAAAAAACACAACAACCACCTGAGGTGAAAGTTATTCAGCAGTGAAAACAAGTCTGAATGAAATAAGCTGGATCAATTAAGAGTTTCCCCATTTCTAAAAAATGTCAACAAATGCTGCGGAACCCTGGCAAAGGTTTAAACAAGACTTTGATTTATTTCCGAGGGCGTCGGGATCTGCTCAGAAGGAAGATGAACAAAAGATTGCCAACTTTTTGAACATTCCGGCACTGAAGCAATTTCATTATATAATTCATTTGAGCTTAATGGTAGAGAACGAGCCGTCTGTGAGTTTCTCTTAATAAAAATTGAGGAATGCAGTTTAACAAAAAGAAATGAAACATTTGACAGATAAAGTGGGTGAGGTCATATTTTTTATTGGACCAACTTCTGTTGGTGAGAGAGACAAGTTTTCCAGCTTGTTCCTGAAGAAGAGTGCTGTGTAAGCCCGGACGCTTGTCTCGGTCACCAACAGAAGTTGGTTCAATAAAAGATCTTACCTCAACCATCTTCTCTCTCCAGCATCCTGGGACCAACACAGCAAGAGCAATGCATACGTTTGAAAGATTTCAGTTTCACTCAAGAAATCAAATGGAGGAAGAGACTTTTGAATCGTTTTTAAGAGATCTAAAGTTAAGAAGTCAGACGGGTAATTTCCACACTCTATCTAAGTCAATGATAAGAGATCAAATTGCGATGGGTATAAAAGATATCAGTGTAAGAAAAAGACCATTAAAAGAGCCAGATCTAAATCTGGAAAGAGTAGTGAGAATTTGCCAAACTGATGAACTGAATCAACAACTACTGCACGCTTTAGAAAGAAAACAAACGGACGTGAATATAGACTTAGTAAGGAAAAGTAACAAATGAGTCTATGGAGGAAACCAGAGTGAAAGTATTAAAGTTCATAGAATCATAGAATAGCAGGGTTGGAAGGGACCTCAGGAGATCATCTAGTCCCACCCCCTGCTCAAAGCAGGACCGATCCCCAGATAGATCATCCCAGCCAGGGCTTTGTCAAGCCAGGCCTTAAAAACCTTTAAGGATGGAGATTCCACCACTTCCCTAGGGAACCCGTTCCAGTGCTTCACCACCCTCCTAGCAGAAAAGTTTTTCCTAATATCCAAGTTAAAACACATGAGCATATAAAAGAATGTTCTAGATGTGGAAGGAGCCCCGACCTAGAAACTGGCCAGCCTACGGTCAGACCTGTCATATCTGCAAGAAGCAGAATCATTTTGCAAAAGTTTATAACCAGAGAAGTCTGGGAAAACGTAGCAATATACGTTTAGTTCCAAATTCAAAAGTCTTAGGACATGGCTGTACCAGAGAACTTACAGCAGCGCAGCTGGACTGATGGACCTGTGCTGCTGTAAGCTCTCTAATTTAGCCGATCTAAGCCGACAGGAGATTTTTTTCCCTCAGTGGTATCTGTCGGGCCAGCTCTAGCGCCCTCTGGTGCCGCATGCTCATGGGGCCCAGCCGGGCTCGCACCCTCTCAGTTCCTTCTTGCCGACTAACTCCGACAGAGGGGCAGGAGGGTGGGTCGTGGAATGGACGTGAGCAACACATCTTGAAGAAGTTACGGAAAGCTTAGTAACCATTTTTGCTTCTCCGAGTGCTCACTCATGTCCATTCCACGTTAGGTGACTCCCAAGAGGTACCCAAGGATTTGGGTTCGGAGTTCAAGGAGAGGCGGATTGCAGCACTGCCCTACCAAAGTTGGCATCATCTCTAGACTGCTGGGTGATGGCGTAGTGGGAGGAGAAGGTATGTACCAACGACCAGGTCACTGCTCTGTAGATATCTTGGATCGGGACCTGGGCCAGAAACGCCATTGACGAAGCCTGAGCTCTCATCAAAAGATGGCCGGAGGTGGGACGCCAGCCTGCCCATAACATGTACGAATGCAGGAAGTGATCCAGGATGAAATTCCCTGCGCCTGCCGAGACAGGAGAAGTTGTTCCAGTGACTGTCACAGGCAGTAAGATGGAACTGAAAGGGTGCAGGACCAGCAGGGCCCCTTATACTAACGCATGAGCGTGTGGCACCAGAGGGCGCTAGAGTCTGCCCGACGGATACCACCGAGGAAAAAGATCTCCAGCAATTGTGCTTGCGGCATGTACACACGGACAAGGAGGGCTTGACAGTTACACTACCTACTAATGGAACATTTATTTCATATGTAATAGACACAGGTCCACAAGTTAATGTCACTTCAGAAGAAATTATAACATTTCTCTGTAGTAAGAGAACAAATACAAATCAATTTACAATCTTATAGTGGTGAAAAAATTCCTGTTATGGGTATTTGTGAATCACAGGTCAAAGTTAAAGATAATTTAGAAAACGTCAGATTTCTAGTAGTTAAAGGACAAAGCATTTCCATTTGAGGCTTAAAAGCATGTTTAGCGCTAAATCTAATTGGCAGAAACTCTGGAAATAGAACATCAATTTACAGAGTTATTCACTGGCATTAGTCAATTGGATACAATGCGTAAAATTAAACAAAGAAACCAGTTACATATGCAACTAGAAAAATACCCTTAGCTTCAAGAACTAGGGTACAAAAGGAATGGGAAAGGTTAGTTCATTTAGATATAATTAAAAGAATGGAAGAGCCAATTGAGTGGATGAATTCATTAGTAATAGCAGAAAAGAATGATGGATTCTTATGTTTATGCTTAGCTCCAAAAGACTTAAATAAGTATGTTAAATGGGAACATTTTAAAATACCTACCGGGAAAGAAATATTTGGACAAATGTCAAGAGCAAAATACTTTTAGATGCTTCGAATGGATTTTGGCAGATACCATTGGAGCAAGAAAGTCAATTGCTATGTACATTTAACACACCTTTTGGATGTTAGTGGTTTAAAAGATTACTTTTGGGATTACGTTGAGCTCCAGAGGCATTTCACAGAGCAATACGAGAGTTTTGAAAATATAGATGGCACGCCAAGTGTACAGGGATGATATGATAATATGGAGAAGAACTTTAGAAGAGCATAATAGAAGATTGGCTGAAGCATTATCTAGAGCAAAAGAAGCAGGACTGAAACATAACAAAAATAAATATAGATTCGAAGTGCAAGAATTAACATTTCTAGGAGAAAAACTCACCAGCCAGGGATTACAGATTGATCCGCAGCGAATACAACCCACTGATAATATCGCTGACCCACAAGATTAGGAGTCATTACAGAAAGTATTGAGTAGAGCTAAATTTTTAGGAAAATACATATCTAACCTAGCAGTAAAAACAACACATTTAAGGGCTTTGTTTTGTAAAAATAATTGGAGGGAATGGAACTGGTCATATCAACAAGAATTAAAGCAGCTTCGGCAACTAATCATAGAATATCAGGGTTGAAAGGGACCTCAGGAGGTCATCTAGTCCAACCCCCTGCTCAAAGCAGGACCAATCCCCAGTCAGATTTTTACCCCAGTTCCCTAAATGGCCCCAGTTCAAGGATTGAACTCACACCCTTGTGTTTAGCAGGCCAATGCTCAAACCACTGAACTATCCCTCCCCCCTATGAATTCTAACGAATAAAAACAGCTCCACTAGTAAAATGATTTGATAGTAAAAGACTTACAAAATTGTCTTCAGATGAAACCTACCAAAGCAGTTCCATTACAAAAATATGGTGATTTATGGAAACCAGTTGCTTATGCATGTACAGCCATGTTGAAAACAGAATGTCAGTATGCTCAAATACAGGAGGAGGCTTTAGCATTGGTTTTTGCATGCAAAAGGTTTCCCATATTTATATGTGGTAGATCAGTACTGCAAGAAACAGATCATAAACCATCGGTGAATATTTCAGAAAGGAACATGTCAGACATATCCCCTCAGTTACAAAGATGGTTTTTTTTTTCAATTGCATTTATATGATTTTAAATTAGAACACCAGCCAGGCAAATCCTTAATTGTTGCCGATACCCTTTCTAGAGCTTATGATGTAACCAATGCAATTAAAAAAAGATGATGTGGTCGGGACATTACACCCCGTATTCTTCATGGAAAAATATGGCTAGGATATGAATACAGCATAACTAAGATATACATTATGCAAGATGGCTCCTGTAAGATATCATTGGAAAGGTTATGATTTACTGGATGTGATCATCCAATTTGTATGCATGTCTCATTTCTGTATCTGAAGTTACGACTATTGACTATGTAACAATTACAACTGTGTGTGTACTTGGGGAAATGCCCACGAGACAGTAACCCATCAGACTTAATGGGCCATTAGTAAAAGGCAATGAGTCTTTGAAGATGTGGATCTTCCATCTGTCTGGAGTTCCTTCCTGAGGACTTTGCAAATAAACCTGGTTTCATAGTTGCTTTGACACTGCAAGATCGCCTGATACAAAATACCACCTTGGACACTGCTGGTACTTTCCCTCTGTAGGGGGATGGGGATCAAACAAAGGTTTCCCACCTTAGGTAAATCCTTTTTAAGGCTGGGGAAGGGGTTAAGCTGGGGTCTCTCCTCCATTGCCTATCCAAGAAGAAAGACTGCTGAAACTACCTGGAGGGACAAAGGAACTATCCTGAGGGGAAAGGCAGGGATGAGTCCAGACTGAGACAAGGGTCCAGTCTGTAAGAAGAAATAACTGGAACTCTGAGCTACAGCAACTCTGCAACTTGCCTAAAATCACATTTAGAGTGAAAAATTACTTCTTGAAACCAGTCTCTTTAAGATCTTAAGCTTCGTTTGCATGTTTTCTTTTATTTGCTCAATAATCTGCTTTCTTCTGTTTGCTATCCCTTATAATCACTTAAAACCTGCCTTTAATAGTTAATAAATTCGTTTTGTTTAATATTAAACCCAGTTTGTGCCATTTCCAACTCGGGGTGGGGGGGAAGAAGTCGTGCAGATCTCTCTTCACATTGAGGGAGAGGGTGAATTTTTATGAGCTTGCGCTGTGCAGATCTTTCTAAACAGCGCAAGACAGTATTATTTTGGGTTTATTCCCCAAAGGGGGTGTGCACATGAGTGCTGGGCGAATCCTCTCACACAGAGCTGACTTCAGTCTGTATCTGTAGCTGGGTGTGGCCCTACCTGTGTGTGCTGCAAGAGGCCAGAGAGCCTAATTCAGCAAAACACGGGGAGGAAATCCAGGCTGGTGCAGCAGGAGGGACTCAGTGAAACCCCAGTACATCAGGTGGCATTAGGGTGACCAGACAGCAAATGTGAAAAATCGGGACAGGGGGTGGGGGGTAATAGGAGCCTATATAAGAAAAAGACCCAAAAATCGGGACTGTCCCTATAAAATCAGGACATCTGGTCACCCTACGTGGCATCCTGGACGGGGGGGTCTAACCTGTCACAGTGGTGCACATAGATGTACTTAAAATTTATTCCTATATCATAAAGTGTATAGGAAGAACTTATTCAAGCAACTAGAAAGGATGAGAATTTACACAATGGGTTCTTACAGCTATTCAAAAAGGATATAATAAGAAAAATGATACTGAAGCCATATAATCAATTTTTTCAAGACTTATCAGTAATTGAAGGAGTTTTGTATAACGGTAACAGAGCAGTAATTCCTTCATGGTTAATAGCAGAGGTGTTGGAATGCATATAGGAGGGACATTTGGTATGGAAAAATGTAAATGTAGAGCAAAAGAAGTTCTGTATAGGCCACAAACTAATCAAAACACAGAGGATTATACAAAAGAATGTGATACATGTCAAAAATGTAGAAATGATCAGTCTAAACAACCTATGACATTTATTCTAGCAAACTTGAGACCTTGGTCTAAAGTAGGTGTAGATCTATTTGAATATATAAAGGACATGCATATGTTATACTTCTTGATTATTTTTCACATTTTCCTGAAATATCCATACAAGGAAACACATGTGCCAAACAAGTCGCTAATGGCACTCCTAATACGGTAATGACGGATAATAGGTCTCAATTTCAAAACCAAAAGTTCAAAAGTTTTGCCATAGCACATGATTTCACACCCACTGCTTCAAGTCCGCGTTACCTACAATCTAATGAGCTAGTTGCAAATGGCATTAAAATAGTAAAGAGAATACCAACAAAAGCTGAAGAAACAAATACTGATTTATATTTGGCATTATTAAATTATAGAACTTTGCCATTCCAACTGGCTTCATCATCTGCACAGTTGTTATTTAACAGAAAGCTTAGAAACAGATGACATACGTTTATTCGAGAAAGATATAAGGAAAAGAATAAGTATAAATATCAGTTGAGTTTGTATCAAAAGACTTATTCTGATAGAGGATCACGGAAATGACCTTATTTGAAACCTAATGATAGAGTATGTATCTATCATGGGAAAAACGGGGCTCAGAAAGCCACAGTAACAAAAAAAATAGCACAGGAATTTACAAGAGACATAAGAACAGCCATGCTGGGTCGGACCAATGGTCAATTTAGCCCAGTATCCCATCTCCCGACAGGTGCTTCAGAGGGAATGAACAGAATAGGTCAACTATCCAGTGATCCATCCATCATCCAGTCCCAGCTTCTGGCAGTCAGAGGCTTAGGGGCACCCAGAGTATGGGGTTGTGTCACTGACCATCTTGGCTAATAGCCACTGATGGACTTATCCTCCATGAACATATCTAATTCTTTTTTCAACCTTCTGGCCTTCACAATACCTTATGATGCCATGACTAATAAAGGGCGAGCATCTAAACGAAATTGGCGACATCTGGAATCATTACCCAGAAGACCAGGCCTAGCTGAAAAAAGAAATGATACAGTACAGCAACGACAGCTGTGAGAAAACGAAAATGACACCGAACTCTGTGTAAGCTCGCAAACGTGTCCCTTTCGCCAAC